TCTGAGCTGTACTTCCCGCTGCATGGCAGTGACTGGCACTCCCTGGCACGGGCGGACAGGGCCCTGCACACTGGACGAGGGCCACCGCGGCGCCGTGGCCATGGCGCCGTACACCAGGGACAGGCTCTGGCTGGGAGTCTAATTCCGGTTATGTCAACCACAGCCGGTTTCGGACCCGGGTCTCAGAGGATCCCAAAGGTCAAAATCAGAACAGGTTTTTATTCCTGCGTGCTGAAATCATGCGCGAGGCAGTGTCCTGGCCCCGGGTCATCTGCTCCCTCTACGACCGCAGGGATCATGGCGAGGGGGACCGCTACACCGCGGCTGTGTGAGCACTCGCTTCCCTGTCGAAGTGGTGGCAAGTGGTGGCTGCAGAGCCAGTGCTAGGACCTTGGACATGGAGGACATACCACAGCACGGGTCCCCCGTCTGCTGTCACAGGTGCCTGCAGCTTCCTGGCACTGCCCCACAGACTCCCGACCTTACGGCCCACAGTCAGAAATCCAGCACAGCCTCACTGTGCCTACAGGGCTGGCTCCTCGAGGCTCGGGGGTACACCGTCCCCTCGCCCTCTCAGCTCCTGGAAGCAGTCTCTCTCCCTCTCTGGAAGCCTCCTGCACCCTCGCACGGCAGGCACCCCTTCTCCTGTGCGTCACTCTGGCCTTCTCTCCCGCCTCCCAGTTCTCTGCTGGGCCCACCTGAGTAATCCTGGCTATGCTCCCTATTCTTATTCTTTTTTAGATTTTTGCCACAGGGCATCAGAGACAGAGACAGCGGGTAAGTGAGAAACCTGCCCCCACCCCCATGCTGCGATTCTTTCTCCTCCATTCTCTTCTTGCCTTTTTTTTTTTTTTAAAGAGGTTTTTGCTTTAGCGTACATGTGCTTGCTGGGGAGAAAGAGACAGAGAAAGAGACAGTGAGAGGGAAAGTTAGAGACCACCACCAAGGGAGGATGGCCGCACCGCAAGTCCTTCTCCTCCGTTCTCCTCCCAGATCTTGGGCACGCACACACACGTGCCCGGAGTGATTTTCAAGCTACTGAATTTGGGACTTGAACCGTGATCGTCCACGTGGGAGTCCAGCAATGTAATGCTACACCATCTGCTAGCTCCCTCCTCTTGGGATTTTGGGCGGGCACTCACACATACACACGCCCAGGGTGATTTCAGGCCGCCAGGTCCAGGACTAACCAGCCATGTGGTACCCAGTACCTCAGCCACCAAGGCCACCTTCGGGCCCTTCCTCCCTATTTTCAAGCCAGCTCCTGAGCACCCTTAATTCCTCTCTGTCATACGAGAAGGTATTCGGGTTGGGGGGATTAGGATGCAGGCTTCTTTGGGGGCCTGCCGTAACATATAAAGCAAAAAGCTTCACATCCTAACAGCCAGCAGCTCACAGGCCGGTAAGTGCTAGGGATGAGCCGGCTGGGCGTGAGAGCCCGTGGGGCAGACGGTGCCAGCGGAGGGGAGGGGTGCCCGGGCAGCGTTGGCGGCACCGCCATCTGCATATCCGGGGACTCTGAAAACCCATGGGAAATGGAGCTGAAGTATGAATTTATTTTTGTGCAAACTTTGAAGAAAACTTCATGCAGTTCTGTCCTAACATGCATTTTCCATGACCTTTGTGAAGACTCACTCACGTAGCACGGCATACCGTATTATCAGATCATGTGTATGTGTGGGGGGGTTTCTTTTTTAAGGTTATCGCCATAGGGTGCGTGCACTCATCGGAGCGAGACAGAGAGAGCGAAAGTGAGGAATCGCCCCAGAGTTGATGGCCATCCCACAGTCCTTTCTCCTGGGTTCCCGTGGGATTTGGGCTGGCACTCACACATGTGCCGGCACGATTTTCAAGCTACTGGATCCAGGACTTGAACCGTGGTTGGCCATGTGGGAGTCCATCACTTTAACCACCATGCCACCCGCTAGCCCCATTCTTGTTGTTTTTAGGGTTAGTTATTTGAGAGAGAGAGAGACCCTCACACGGGCTTTACAGGGTGCAGTCCCCACTCAGCCTTGCCGTCCAGCCTGCCAGGGTCACGGCGGCACAGGCCGATCTGAAAGCTGGAGCCTGGTTTTCCACGTGGTCTCCCCGCTCTGGTGAATCACACACTCGAGATCCAGGTATTAAGTCACACCTATCAGGCAGGTGTGAGGAGCCCACGCCATGTCCGCGGAACTGGGCCCGATGAGGAAACTTCCTTGGGGTGAAGTGGCTAGTGGCTACTGTGTCTACCTGCTTGAAGCCACTCTGCAGCGTTGTCAAGGTGTAGGGGGCCTGCAGGCAGGTGGCAGAGCATGGGGGCTCAGCCTGTCTTCCAGGTCCTAAGAAAGAAATGGGGGAGTCTGCACAGAGCTGACCCTAAGAAACGTAAGCAGCAACCGGGCCCTTGCTGTTGTCCTCTGGGCTCTGGGGGAAGCCTCGGCCCCAACAGACAACGCTGCCTTCCCCTGGGCTCCTCCTGGCCCCTTTCTCCTTCTTTCTCTCTCCCTCTCTCTCTTTATTTTTAGGTTTTGCTTTAGGGTATGTGCACTCACCAAAAAGAGACAGAGAAGAGGAAGGGAGAGGAGAGGGAAAGTGAGAAATCACCTCTGGGAGAATGACACGTCACAATCCCTCCTCCCCTCTCTTCTCGGGATTTTGAGCACATATTTGCACATCCTAGCATGATTTTCAAGTTGCCGGGTCTGGGACTCAAGCTGTGGAGTCAGCCATGTGGGACCCAGCACCTTAGCCAGCACACTACCTGCTGGCCCTCCTTTCTGTCACAGATGGGCCTGGCACAAACACTGGGCACACAGTTTGCAGAACCCCATGGGTAGGGGCTCGGCCTGCACAGGGCCCTGGCCTGCTTCCCCTCCTCCAGGCAGCTGAGAAGGGTTTTGTTCACAAGCCCACAGGGCCAGAGGCCAAGGGCGTCTGAAGCCGTCCCAGCTGGAGGAGTGAGTTTCCAGGGCCACCGCCTTAGCCAAGGCCTACTGGGCTCCCTAGCACAGAGGCCTGTGCCCCTCGGGTCATGGGGAATAGTTCCTGGGCTCCTCAGTGGGCTGGTTTCAGGCTGCGTTTTGCAAATACTTCTCTTTAATGAGCTCTGCAGAGTGGCTGGGGGCAAGGCAGGTGGCCCTCCAGGGCCGAGAGAGAGCTTTGTCCTGCTACGGCCCGGCTCAGGCCACTCCAGGCTCGACCTGAGCCTCCTCTAGGCCACGGTGGCCAGGTGCGGTCTGAAGCTCAGTCGTGTGGTCTGAGAGCTACAAATGCAGTTATATTTTGGAATGGTTCAAAAACAAATCAGAAGAGGATTTCACTGTGGAGGAAAACTGTATAAAATTGAAATTCAGCTTCCAAAAATAGAGTCCAGCTGGAGCGCCCAGGCCCACGTGCTTGCTACGGTCGTGGCTCCCTTTCCGCTCCACAGCAGAGAGGAGCCGAGGTGACTGAGCAAGGCAGCCACAGGCGGCATGCGCCCCACGCCTGCAGCCCTCGCTGCTGGAGCCCAGGACTGCAGTCTCAGCAGTGGGCAGGTGCCAGGACAGCAGCCACCTCCTGCAGCTGCCCGATGGCTGAGTGGGGCAGAAACAGCAGGGCTGTGCTCCCGGAGGCTGCTCTTCTCCGTATTACTCTGCCATAGGGTGTATACACTTGCCGGAGAGAGACAGAGAGGGAGAGGGAGAAGTCACCCCCAGAGGGGATGGCCACGCTGCAATCCCTTCTCCTCCTGGAATTTTGAACATGCCTCAGGTGTGATTTTCAAGCCACTGGGTCTGGGGCTTGAATTGCAGTTGCCCATGTAGGAGTCCAGCACCTAACCCACCATGCCACCTGCTGGCCCCACCCTGTGCGTTTATTATTAAGTAATGCTCCAACACGTAGCAGCCCGGCAGGGATCACACTGTCCCACTCTCCTGGTTGGTAGCCTTCGCAGCTCCCCAAAGTGCCTTCTGGTCTTTATCTGAGAGCTCTTTAGGAAAGACGACACAGTGGGCACGTTGGCCGAGGGAGCGGAGGCCCTCTGGGCCCTCAGAAAACAGCACCTGCAGCCTCACAGCCCGCAGCTGCCGTGGGCCACGTCGCCTCGGCCAGGCTCAGGTTCCAGATCTGCCAGACTCTGGGCTGAACTATATGGAAGTGCTTGTCCAGGCCCACATGGGTGGGTACCGGCTATTCTTTTTTTTTTCTTTTTTTGAGAGTTTTTTGCTATAGGGTGCGTGCACTTACCAGAAAGACAGAGAGAGACAGAGAGACAGAAAGCAAGAAATTACCCCCCAGGGGGATGGCCACACCACAATCCCTTCTCCTCCAGTTTCCTCCTGGGTCCAGCGACATAGCCACTACGCTAACTGCTGGTCCCGGTCCCGGCAATTCTGTGTGGCACACCAGACCATGAAGCACCCTAGAAGCCAACGTGGTGTAGTGTCTTACAATTCTCAGATGTCAGAGTGCGCTGAGGCTCGAGAAGAGCTGTTCTTGGGGGGCACAGACAAATGGGGGTTTCAGCCCAGGGCCTGCTCCAGGGCTCCCCGGGTCTACCCGATCTCTCACCATCTCTGCTGAGAACCACATCTATTCTGGGCTTGGTGCAGAGGTAATGCAACGCTGTGAGGCTGACGTCAGCATTACCTACTGGGCAGGTTCCAGGTTCAGGTCCAGAGACCCCCCCTCGACACAGTGCGTGTGCCTGGGCACTCGCTGTGACAGTCTGTGGGCGGTGCTGTCTCTCTCTCATGGGAGACATGGAAAGAATGACAGTGCTGATGTATTTCCTGACGTTCCCTGCACTTCCAATCTCAGGACCCAGACGATTTGGAGCACGGAGTACGTCCCAGTTCCCAAGCTCGTGCCCATCTCATCACCCACGCTCAGGGCCGAGGGGATCCAGGAACCGGGCCGGGGCAGGGCGGGTCTGGAGCCCAGGTCTCAGAAGGGCCCACTGTCCCTTTCCCAAAGGGGCCCCAGGCCCAGAGGCTGACACAGCATGGCTGCAGAGTGGCAACCCCTCTTACCTCTCTCTGGGCAGCGGCTTGGGCTCTGGCCGGATGGCAGCCATGGAGAGGGGTGCTTGCCGGGAAGGGGACAAGGAGAAGTTGAGGTCCAGGGAGCCCGCCTTCCTGTGCAGCGGCTCCAGCCCCACGGCCCCCTGCAGCTCGCTCTCTATGGGGCAGGACCCCGCCCTGCCGTGGATGGACAGCGAGCATATTTCGGGGCCCACTGCACCCTGGAGCAAAGCGTCCGTGGCCACTTGGGGGTCGTGAGTGGGAGAGACAGATGGCGGGGACCGCGACTTCTTCCTGGCAGATGCCCCGGCCAGAAGTTTCAGCAGGCCGCTCTTCTTCTCCTTCTGGGGAGACAGAGGGAATGGAATGGTTAATGCTTCCAGTTGCTCTCGGTGTGGGAACCTCACAGAGAAGCTCCCGTCGCCCGCTACAGAGACGAAGCAAGGCTGAGACGGGAGGCTCGTCCCGCTCGTGTCCCTTCCTCTCCCCCAAGCCGGCAGAAGTGTCCAGAAAACACCCGAGGCCCAGGGCCTGCAGTGCAGATCCTGGGGAGGGTGATGCCGGCAGCCAGTCACCCACCGGGCCCTGCGAGCCCCCTAGAGGAGCCAGGAGCCAAGAGCCACTTCCTTTTCACCCAGTGCTGCTGCTCCCTTTTAAAAAACATATTGTATTTATTTATTTATTTATTATTATTACTATTACTATTATTTTTAATTTACTATAGGGCATGTGCGCTCACCAGAGAGAGATGGAAAGTGAGAAAGCAAGCAACCAGGTCTGGGGCTCGAACCTCAATCGACCATGTGGGAGTCCAGCACCTTCACCACCACATCACCTGCTGGCTCTCACTCAGTGCTTCTAAGAGGGCTTTGCAGGCTGGACGTGTCATTTGGGGGCGTACACAAAACCGGGGTTGCGGGGGGCCTGGCTCTTCTGAGGAGCACGTCCTCACCCATTAAGGACCCTCTGCTCCTGGCTGGGCTCCCCAGGGCCCCACCTCGGAGCGTCCGAGCCTCCCTCTGGCACGAACGCTGCAGAGAGATGCAGGGCGGGGTGGCCCGGCGGGGCTGAGCACCAACAGGCGGCTCCCAACGTGACTCCCTCACCCCGGCGCTCACGGGCCAAGGCCTGGTCTGCAGGGCGCGGCTTCCTCAGGAAGCCCGGGCAGCATTTTCCGTGAACTTTCCTCTGCAGAGATGTCTGCAGCACACAGGGCACGCCGAGGCACGTGTGCGTGTCAGTGAGCACGCTGGTGCCCGCACCTCGTGTATTCCCAGGGAGCTGGTGCGGGCCAGGAAGCGGTGCTTGTCCCCAGCACGGCCAGGCCCCTCACGGGGACAGCAGAGCGAGGGCTGAGCACCCTCCTTGCGGCCTCTCCCCAAGAGCCCTCAGTGGGAGACATTCCAAGAACGTCCTCTCCCGCAGGTAAGAGAAAGGGCTGCTGTGGGGTGAGGTGACACCCAGGGCCTTGGTAACCAGCGCACCTGCCCCGCAGGGCCCAGCACCGCCCCGGGACGCCGAGGTCCTCTCTCGCCCACTGCCTGTGCTCCTCACAGTGACCCCACGACGACCCCACAGGTCTATCTGCTGGAGGAACGGCCAGCCACAACGGCTTTAGCTGGCGCCCTGGCTCTCTGGGCTCCACAGAAGCTTCTCCATTGAGGCCCTGGGTCGCTAGATAACCAAGAGCCTGGCTGAACAGACCACCCGGACAGGACCCAGGCAGAGCCCCCTCTCCAGGCTGCCTGGCCCTCCTTGGTGTGGGCCTTTGTTCGTGGGCTGCCTTCTGATCACTGTGGTGAGCGGGGTCGCATCCTCTGCCTACCCCTCAGCAGTGGGGCTGGCCGGGGGCTCACGGGAGGCACCGAAAACGCTGCCATCCACACGCTAAGGCAGCTGCACGTAGGAGGGAGAAGCACCATCTTCATCCAGCCCAGGCCGTGTGTGTGCCGGTGTGTTGAGTGTGTGCATGTGTGAGTCTGAGAGTATGTGACTGCGTGTGTGCATTCGTGTATGAGTTTACAAGCACATGTGAGTGCAGCCATGTGTGAGCATGCACAAGTGTGTGAACATGCATGAGAGTGTAAGTAAGTGTGCATGTGTGTTTGCAGGTGAGTGTGTGAAGAGCATTTATAACCACACACTCGCCCTGGAATCTGGATGGTCCAGGTTTTACTGGCATCTGGTGGGTGGTGTGGGGGCGGGCGAGGCGCAGAGTTGGAAACTAGAGGCTGTGTCCGTGGTGGCCCTGCAGAGGCTGTGCTGGCCGTGGGCAGCCTGAGCAGGTAGCTGGGACACCCTCTTCCCACCCGCCTTGTCTGCGTGACTGCAGCGCCGCTGGGGGAGTTAGTGGTGCGGAAGCCTCCTGGAATGGCACAGACACAGGGAGGTGCAGCGCCCTGAGCCGTGGCTCACCCCCGTGGGAGCGATTCCGTGCTGCTCCACTCCAAGCCTTGCCACGGCAGGTGCTCTGAATGCCATGTGGGATGTACAGGCCTGGCCAGGGTGAGTGCCAGCCCGTGGGAGGGTGCGGGTGTGCAGCAGAGCAGTGAGGCTGCTGCTGTGTGGCTCCTGTGACGACAGCCCCTAACAGGAGCCCATGGAGGGAGGGCCTGGGGGGGCTGCACAGCGGGGGTGGGGATGTGGGGGAGGGGTCCCGCTCTCTGTGCAGGGAGCCTCCCCTCCCCGACAACTAAGATGCAGAACACCGCCAGGTGGCTCATCAATGCAGCTGGGAGCACCGCAGGGCCCGTGCCCCAGTGTCTAGTTGGATGATCACGAGGGCCAGACTTCAGATGACCCCGCTGTCCCCATGCTCCTGTATCGGGCATGCACTCGAACCACGACACGATGGTATAGGAGGGCTCTCCGGGCCTGCGGCGGCCCGAGGGGAAGAGACACGCCCAGCAGAGCCCAGGCCAACCTGGGCACCATGGACGGGCTGTGGGCTGTGTGGGCTCCTAAGACCAGAGGATGTGGCCTGGACACCCTTGACCAGCCTCCCCCATGGAGCAATTCAACAGTGTGGGCATCACGTACCCAGGGCACAATGGCCGTGGGACTGGCCGCAGGAGTGCCGGGCCCGGATGCGAGGGTCTCCAGCTGGGCACGTGTGTCCCACCACTCACGTGACAGCCCTGGCCCCACTATACACACTTCGTCACCTGCATGAGAGCCGCAGCCACGAGCCCTGCCACGTGACACAGGGATGTGCCCCGGGGTGAGTGTGGATCTGCCTCCAGGAGGGAGCAGAGAGGGGACCTGACCCTCCGGGACAAGAAGCCCCTGGCTCTCAGCTGTCAGTGCCTGCCACAACCCCACCCATCACGCCAAGTCCTGCTTCTGCTTCTGCTTTGGGGAGGGGCGGATCGACCTGGGGTCCAGTCGCTCCTGTTCCTGGGCTCTGGCAGACACCGTTTGGGAATTTGGGGTAATTTCTGGTGAGGAAGAAGAGGCAGCCAGCTCTGAGCCATCAGGCCTGGATGGGACGGCCGGTTCCCTACGCACCTGCAGCCCTGCGGCCCGTCTCCCCTCTGCCTCGATCTCCCTCTGGAAACGTCTCCTGGATGTTTGTGCATTAATCCTGCCAGCACGCCTCCCACACACGCTGACCGGGGACATGGGTAGGACAGAGCAGCTGTCAAGCACAAGGAGCCGGGGCTCTTACTACGCGGCATCCTTAAAGGGTGGCATTGTCAAGCGGGTTTCTCCAGAGCACCTGCTGGAGGCAGAGCTTGAGGGGCCAGAGTACCCAGGAACGCCCCGTGGGACTGCTGGGCAGATGGAGGCAGGAAGAGAAGGCCTGCCGTCCGAGCCCAGGAGGCTCCCTCCCAGACGCAGGGGCAGGCTCGGCCGCAAAGGCCGAGCAGGCCCCGAGGCTGTGTCTGAAGCACGACTCCTGGGGGTGAAGCTGGAAAGTGGCCCCCAGCACGCACCGAGCATCGTCATGGCAGAGAGACCAGGGCTTAACTCAGATCCAGAAAAAGCCACGCGTGTGCACACTCACACCTTGAAGGCGCTCTAAGAGAAGCATCACCTGGAAATCAGGTACGTGAAGCGACTCTGCAGTTGTCCGCACTCGTTCCCGGGTAACTGCGAGACCTAACACGGGAGAGTCACGTTGCTGTTGCTATGTGATTAAGACAGGAGTTTCCTCCCTGCAGGTGGCATGATGGTTAGGGCACTGGACTTTCACGTGGCCAACTGCAGTTCAAGTCCTGGACCCAGCAGCTTGAAAATCATGCTGGGTGTGTGTGCAAGTGTGCCCCAAATCCCAGGAGAAGGGAATGTGGCACGGCCATACCCCCGGGGGTGATTTCTCACTTTCCTTCTCACTGTCTCTCTCCAGTGAGCACACACACCCTATGGCAATACCTAAACAACAAACAGACAAAAAAATAGGAGTTCCCCAAGGGGCCTTAATTATTTCATAGAATACCACTATAAAAACTTGACAAAAGAAAAAGGAGATTTAAAGCTTAACTTAAAACCCATGGCCAGTTAAAGGTCAATCAGAAATGAGGAAAGACGGTCTCTGAAATTAAAAAAAGCTGAAGTGGACAGGATTTGATTTATAGAAAGGCAACACTAGGGAACCAGCAGTTAGCGTAATGGCTATGTCGCTGGATTCCCACGCAGTCGACCGCGGTTCGAGTCCCGGACCCAGTG